AAACAGAAGTTGCTGGAAAAGCTCAGCAGGTCTGGCAGCATCTGTGGAGAAAAAAATCAGAGTTAACGTTTCAGGTCCGGTGACCCTTCCTCAGAAGTGAGGACCCGAAATGTTAACTCTGATTTTTTTTTTCTTCACAGATGCTGCCAGACCTGCTGAGCTTTTCCAGCAACTTCTGCTTTTGTTAAACTCCATCCGCCACTCCTCATCCCATTGACCCAATGGATCAAGATCTCTTTGTAATTTCAGAGAAACTTCTTCATGCGGGATATAGAGACAGAGAAAGAGAAAGAGAGAAGCGGCAATGAGAGAGAGATATAGAGAGAGGGGGGAAGAGAGAGAGAGACAGAGAGACAGAGAGAGAGACAGACAGCCGAGGGGATGACAGAGAGAGAGACAGCATTCAGAGAGAGAGACAGATAGAAAGAGTGAGAGAGAGAGAGACAGCAGTGGGGGGAGAGAGAGACAGAGAGAGAGAGAGAGAGACAGCCAAGGGGACGAGAGAGAGACAGCATTTGGAGAGAGAGACAGACGGAAAGAGTGAGAGAGAGAGAGACAGAGACAGAGACAGCAGTGGAGGTGGGAAGAGAGAGAGATAGAGAGCAAGAGATAGAGAGACAGCAGTGGGAGAGAGGGAGGGGGAGAGAGAGAAAAAGAGACAGCAATGGGAGATAGAGAAAGCTCGAGAAACAGTGGTGGAAAATCGAGATAGAGAGATAGCAAGAGAGGCAGTGGTGAGAGATAGAGGCAATAGAAGATAGAGAGAGAGACAGAGATAGAGACACGGTGTTAAGAAATAGAGAGCGAGATGGCAGTGACAGAGAGGGAAGGCAGTGGTAGGTGGAGACATAGAGAGAGTCAGAGAGAGAGAGATAGACAGACAGCAGTGTGAGATAGAGGGAGAGATAGACAGAGAAGTGAGATAACAATGGCAGATAGAGAGAAATGACAGTAGGAGATTTAAAGAGAAAGAGACAGTAATGGGGGATAGGGAGAGAGAAGACGATGGTGGACGGAGAGTGAGATAGGGAGACATAGAGAAAGAGAGAGAGAGAGCTAGACAGCAGGTAAAGATAGAGAGAGAAGACAGTGGTGGGTGAAGAAATAGAGAGAGATAGAAGCAGACAGACAGCATTGGGAGAGAGAGAGGGGGGGCGGAAGGAAAGGAGGGGGAAGAGAGAGAGAGGGGGGAAGGAGAAAAGAGACAGGCAGGATTGGGTGTGTGTGAGAGAGAGAGAGAGACAGTGGGAGGGTGAGAATGGAAGATGGAGAGAGAAGTTCAGACACAGGAGATGGAGAGTTTAATTGATTTTAGACAGATTTCAGAGACTGAATACGGGGAGCCAACCCCCATCCCAGTTCCCCAACTGTGTAGACGTGCTCCTGACGGGTTCAGCCAGATCTAGGAATCTCTCGGTTTATCGGAAAGACTGGAAGAGTAGGGGGGGTGGTGTAGGTTAGACAGCCTGCTGTGGGACTGAGAGAGACACAGCGGGACAGGAATGGCACCAAACGCTGCCCGGTTTAGACATTGATGAGTTGGTTTGCAGGTGCAGCAAGTAGTTAAGGTGGGAAATGGAATATCGTCCTCCATTGTTAGAGGGATGGGTTTTACAAACAGGGAGGAGGTGATGCTGCAGCTGTACAGGGACTCTGGTCAGGGCACAGCCGGAGCGCTGTGTACAGTTTGGGTCTCTTTACTTGAGAAAGGATGCAGTGGGCACTGTAGGGGGGAGCAGAGGAGGTTCACGAGGTTGGTTCTGGAGTTGAGAGGGTTGGATTATGAGGAGAGATTGAGTAAACTGGGAACATACTCATTGGGATTGAGAAGAATGAGGGGGAATCTTACAGAAACGTAGAAAACGATGAAGGGAACAGATAAGATAGGAACAGGGAGGATGTTCCCATTGGCGGGTGAATCTAGAACGAGGGGGCATAGCCTCAAAACGAAGAGGGGGAGCAGATTTAGAGCTGCGTTGGGGAGGAACCCCTTCGCCCAAAGGGTGGTGAATCTGTGGAATTCCTCCGCCCTAGTGAGGCTGCCTTGGTGAATGTTTTTAAGGTGAAGATTTGTGAGCGGAGAAGGAATTGAGGGTTAGGGCGAGTGGGCGGGGAAGTGGGGCTGGAAAGGCTCAGCCACGATCTTGTTGAACAGCAGGAGCAGGCTCGATGGGCCAAACGGCCTCCCTGTGCTCCTGTTTCTGACGTTCTCATGGTGCTCCAGATGGAAATCGTGCTGCATCCCCCTCCCTGGGGAATCATTGGGAAGGGGAGCAGGAGCAGGAAGGTGAGAATGGTTTTTTTTTCTCCCCAAGCTGAAGGCCCTGGAAACAGGGGACTAAGGGATTCACACTGTCCGTCCATCCAGGGGAACACAGCAGCAAAGGCAGCACCCTACTTCAACTTCCT